GTTTCAAGCAATTCTCCTGCCTCAGCCTCCCCAGTAGCTGGGATTACAAGCACCCATCACCATACCTGGCTAATTTTTTTGTATTTTTAGTAGAGACAGGGTTTCACTATGTTGGCCAGGCTGGTCTCGAACTCCTGACCTCGTGATCTGCCTGCCTCGGCCTCCCAAAGTGCTGGGATTACAGGCGTGAGCCACTGCGCTCAGCCAGAGGTTTTATAGCTCGGAAACTAATATTGGAAAATAAAAAAACATGAATTTTACCATTGCTTGGTCTTTATAGCAGATTCTTAATGTAGAAAACGAAAAATGCAATTCCATTAATTTCTTTCTGGAAAGAACATTAAGTAGTATTGCAACTCTTAGCTTTAAAAAAAATTATAAGGCATTTATAATAAGTATGCTCTTGAAAGTTCTTAGCATAACTGGAGGGAAAAATCATCACTGAGAATGTGTGGGAATATATGTTTTAGTATAGCAGGAGAAAATGTTCTGAGGATTTATGAAATAATGTTCTACTGTGTCTTTTCCCTTTGACCATTAAGAAACCACAAGCAAACTAAAATTGCCTTGTTATGCTAAAAAAGTTAAAAATATATGTTGCCATGGAGATAGACCCAGTCTAGATTTCTTTCCGGTAGTTTAAAGACTTCTGCAAACCCTTGGGGAAGTAATATATTTTCAGTACCACAGTTTGTGGGTGAAACAAAGAAACATACCTTTCTTTGTCTTTGGTGCTCATGTACACATTGAAAAACTGTAAATAATAATTGAGAAAGTCTTGCTCACCATTCCCAGTTTTCATGTAAGGACTTAAGCTCATAGAAAACAAAAAGAATAGTAAGCCAACTAAAGAACTGGAGTGTATATTTCTTTCTTCCCCTCTCTAATGGTGCCGATGAAGTGTACATTCTAATGTCTGTTTGGATACCTTGTATGTATTTTCCTAATGGTAATTGTGGATTAATATTTTGCAGGATATATTGTTTTGAGGAAAAAAGCATGAGTGCTTTTAAGTATAGAAAGCATTTATTAATTTTGTACAGCAATAAGAATTTTCTCATAGTCTACCCAGCTTGATAGTTATGAGACAGCATAGTATAAGGTTTTGAAGTAAACCAGGTTTTTTTTCCAGTTTCATCATTTACTAGCTGTGTAACTTTGAGTAGGTTAATTATTCCAAGCCTCAAGTTTTGCTTGTGTGAAGTGGAGATAATAGATGCATAGTACCTAACACGAAGTAGATGTTCAATAAATGGTGTATAATAGGATTAGTTTTTAACAGTAAATTTTTTAGATAAGCAGGATTCCAACTTAACTACCCAGTTATGTGTGTTTCCTTATTCTTCATTGTTTTCCAGGAGAGATTACTGTGTAAGTTCTTTGAATATCTTTTCCCTAGTGTGAGTTTATTTTGGTCTACTGTTTTTATAGCTAAATAAATTAGTCCATTTGACTTTACAGGAGATATGTTGCTCTAAGTACCTAATAAGACATTCGTTATAACTTGTATAGTGTTTTATTAATATCAACATTCCTGGCTTTTTAAGAAAGTGCGATTACATGAAAATGAGGCTTCTAATTTGTGTACTTAGAGTAAAATATGAATGCATTTTTCTTTAGGCATTTTAAATTATACCTGACATCAAGTACTGAACGTTTTTCACAAAATTTCAAGGTCGTGGTGGTGGATGGTAAAAATGAAAGCGAGTACGCTGTGAAATGGCAGGACTTCTTCACTGGACATGTGGTTGGTTAGTATGGAGCTTGTTGGTTTGCCTCTGTGTCTGGTGGGTTTGGTCTCCAAATCTGACTTGTTTGCATATTCTTTTCTGGTGCAGGGTAGTGGGGATGGGATGTCATGGAAGTGCTATTTTTTGACTGTATACTTTGAGGTATATAAGTTTAGAGGCAGGAACATTCTAATAGGAGGAAATGAGTATTATTTAAATGTCATACTAGCTGCTGGTTTGATGTTTAAAATTAATTTCCTCTTACGTGTTAGGAACTTAACCTTTCTTGTCTTCAGCAGTGACTGTAGGCTTGCTTTATGATATTTTAAAGAGGGAAGCTTGGAGATAAAATACTTTGTGATCCTATTATGTATATATTTGAGAAAATCTATCAAACAAGCAATTGCAGTTTACTTTTTGACCTTTTTCTGCAATGAGAAAAAAGAAATGGCATTGAAATCCACAAATAGTGTAGTTCCTAGGCCTGTACATTCCAAATCATGCTTTCTGCCTCTTCTAGTTCTTCCTTTACCTAAAAGTAGATAACGTTATTCCAGAAGAAAATCTTAGTAGTTTTGTTTGCTTTGGGAAAGGGATAGGTTTCAAGTAACTAGACTTGAGGCTACCCCTTAGGTGGTGAGATTATCTAGCTTCTTTCTGGGGCCTTTGTTTCTTGATTTGCAGAGCTCTCACAGTACTAGGCAAATTCCAATTCCACCTGAAGGATTTAATTTTTATTGAGAGTAATGCATAGCTTATTATTTGATGTTAGTATTTTTAAATAATAGATTTTTTTTTCTCTTAAGGTGAGCCTGACTCTAGGGTTCTAGCCCACATAAGAGATGATGATGTTATAATCAGAATCAACACAGATGGGGCCGAATATAACATAGAGGTAAATTTTTATGTGAATTTTTTTTCAGTAGCTTATATCTCTCATTTTCAAAAAGCTGCTTAGTCCTGCAAAGGTGAAAAGTAATTATACTTCTTTCTTTTTTGTATTTGAAGACTTTTACCAGGAAAGTAGATTTTTAAAAAAGGATAATCTCTAAGAAGCTGTGTTATGATATACTCTGTATTTCTAAGTACCATAATTGAGATAATTACATGTGGGTTGGATAATAGGCAGAGAAAACTTTCTTTCCCTTTTGACTCATTTTTTAATTCTTTCTCAAATAATAAATGTAAACATCCTCAGAAATGAAAGTAAAGTATTATTTTTCAATTTCCCCATATTTCTGCTAGACACACTGGAAATGCTAGATCAATGGAAGGTGTGATAGTTCATAGTCTGAGAAGTTAAAGAGGAGACTAGGAGAATCAGGCCGTGATCACTCTTCCATTGAAAGAATAACAGTAGAAATCAAGACCACAGTGGCTGCACTGGTTAAGACACATATCTATGTGTCGGATACTAGTCTACAAAACAAAATGTTTACCACATAATTGTGAATTGAAGTTGATTCTGTGTTTCTTGAAAAATAAGAAAACTCTGGGTAGTGGTGGTGATATCACTAAAATAGGTCATCTGTGGGAAAACTGATTAAGATTGGTCAAAATGAAATCTTCAGGTGTATTTCAGTGCTGAATAGGGGTAAAACAGTCTGCTGGAGCTAGAAATACTATGCATGTGAATTATATCCAAACTACATGACTGTTAGTCTTTTGGCTATCCATCATTGTGAAAAAGAAACCTGTGGCCTTGCAGTATGTTATAGTTTGTTAATGTTTAAACTATTTAATGTCAATGTTTTGAGGAGTCTAGCCTACCAGAAGAGTCAGAAATTTAGCAAAAAGTAAAGGAACTAATATTAAAAATGCATACATTCTAGAATAGGCAAAGCATCACTATAATGTCCTAAATTTGCTTGTTCTTTCAATCAATTTATTAAAAAAAAAAAACCTTTATTTGAAAATATATACTTGTTGAAAGATTTGGAAAATAGGCTATCTGTACTTGACAGATAACTACTATTGACATTTTGACAGGCAACCAAATATTTTTTCTATGTGTATATACACAAGTATAGTTACACAGACTATTTTTTTCCTGTAAAACTAGGACCATACAATATGTAGTTCGTTTTCACACATTTTTTATTTAACAATATGATTATGAACCTTTTCATGTTAATATAGATCTAAATTAGGGTTTTGTTTGTTTTTGTTTTTTTTTGAGTTTCCCTCTTGTTGCCCAGGCTGGAGTGCAATGGCGTGATCTCAGTTCACCACAACCATCGTCTCCTGGATTCAAGTGACTCTCCTGCCTCAGCCTCCCAAGTAGCTGGGATTACAGACCTGTGCCACGATGCCTGGCTAATTTTGTATTTTTGGTAGAGATGGGGTTTCTCCATGTTGGTTAGGCTGGTGTCGAGCTCCTGATCTCAGGTGATCCACCTGCCTCTGCCTCCCAAAGTGTTGGGATTATAGGTGTGAGCCACCATGCGTGGCCTAAATTAGGGTTTACGATAAAGGCTGCCTGTTGGTCCATTGAAACACTGTACCATTTATTTAACCAATCCCGCTTGATACGCAACTGTTTTTTTTTTTTTTTTTTTTTTTTTTAAGATGAATTCTTGCTCTGTTGCCCAGGCTAGAGTGCAGTGGCATGATCATGGCTCACTGCAACCTCTGCCTCTTGGGCTAAAGCCATTCTCCTGCCTGTAGCTGAGACTGCAGGCGTGTGCCACCATGCTCGGCTAATTTTTATATGTTTTTTTGTTTTTGAGAAAAAGTCTCACTCTGTCACCCAGGCTGGAGTGCGGTGTCATGGTCTCAGCTTACTGCAACCTCTGCCTCCTGGGTTCAAGCGATTCTGCCGCCTTAGCCTCTTGAGTAGCTGGGACTACCGGCATGTGCCACCACACCTAGCTAATTTTTTAATTGAAAAAATGATTTATTACTTATAACGGTGATTTTCATACTCTTTATTATATAATTTTTTTGATACTTTTGTAGTTCATAAGCGTGATAATTGGCTGTTCACACACATGTATGAGGCGTGCCACTCTAGAACCTTGTTACAATGTTAGCACATTACCAATCTGACATAAAAAAAATAATTCTTTACCCTTACCTTGATGTGAAAATCATTGTTCATCTGCATTAAGATCTTAGGTATATAAGTGAGTGGGAAAAAATATATATCTTATTTTTAACATGTCATCATTAAATATTTTATTTATGACAGAGTCTTACTCTGTTAACCAGGCTGAAGTTTAGTGGTGCCATCATAGCTCATTGCAGCCTTGACCTCCTGGGCTCAAACAATCTCTTTCTCCAGCCTCCTGTGTAGCTGGGACTACAGGTGCATGCCACCATGCCCAACTAATTTGTTAGATTTTTGTAGAGTATCAAATTTTTGATGAGGTCTCACTGTGTTGCCTAGGCTGGTCTCAAATGCCTGGCCATAAGCAATTCTCCCGCCTTGGCCTCCTGAAGTGCTGGGATTACAGGTGTGAGCCACTGTGCCCAGCCATTAAATATTCTAAACCATCATTGACTTTACCATAGCTTACTATTTATATAAATAAACCCAAGTTAAACTTGCATAGTGAGATAATTTTTTCTGCAACTTTTATTTATTTATTTGAAATGGAGTCTTGCTCTCTTGCCCAGGCTGGAGTGCAGTGGTGTGATCTCGGCTCACCGCAACCTCTGCCTCCTGGGTTTAAGCAGTTCTACTGCCTCAGCCTCCCAAGTAGCTGGGATTACAGGCATGCACCACCACACCCAGCTAATTTTTTTTTTTTTTTTGAGGCGGAGTCTCCTTCTGTTGCCCAGGCTGGAGTGTAGTGGCATGATCTTGGCCCACTGCAACCTCCACCTCCCAGATTCAAACATTTCTCCTGCCTGAGCCTCCCAAGTAGCTGGGATTACAGGTGTGCACCATGATAACTGGCTAGTTTTTGTATTTTTAGTAGAGACAGGGTTTCTGTGTTGGCCAGGCTGGCCAGGCTGGTCTTGAATTCCTGGTCTCAGGCGATCTACTCGCCTCAGCTTCCCAAAGTGCTGGGATTACAGGTATGAGCTGCTGCGCCTGGCCTAAGTTTTGTATTTTTAGTAGAGATGGGGTTTCACCATGTTGATTAGGCTGGTCTCGAACTCCTGATCTTGTAATCTACCCACTTCAGCCTCCCAAAGTGCTGGGATGACAGGCGTGAGCCACCGTGCTCAGCCTCCCCCAACTTCTAGTTTTCAAAATGTTAAGCTGGTGCAGTATCTCATGCTTGTCATCCCAGCACTTTGGGAAGCTGAGGTGGGCAGATCACTTTAGGCCAGGAGTTTGAGACCAGCCTGGCAACATGGTGAAACCGTGTCTCTACTAAAAACACAAAACTTGTCCGAGCTTGGGGGCTTGTGCTTTAAATCCCAGCTGCTCGGGAGGCTGAGGCAGGAGAATAGCTTGAACCTGGGAGACAGAAGTTGCAGTGAGCTGAGATTGCTCTACTGCACTCCAGCCTGGGTGACAGAGCGAAACTCTGTCTCAAAAAAACAAAAGAAAAGAAAATGTTCAAATGTACAGATAGATTAAAAAATTACCCTGTAGCCCTTAAAAAAGTGCTAACATAATATGATGTTTCCTCTCTTTTTTTCCCCAAAACATATGAAAATCGTTTGCAAACATCATGAGACTCCACACCTAAATACTTCTGTATGCATCCCTAGGAATAAAGGGACTCTTTTATATAGCTGTAATGAAAGTAAGATACCTGAGAAAATGAAAAGAATTCTACAGTATTATCTAATAATCAAGCCATGGTCAAAATCTCTAGTCATCCTCAAAATATCCTTCGTAGATTTTTTTTGGCTTTCCAGTCTTGGACCCAGTCAAGCCTTCTGCCTTTTAGTTATTTATCAAATTATTTTTTCCATCAACTTACTAGTAATAATGGTAATAGGCTTAGCTTTTATTAATAACAACCACTTTTCTTTTGAAATTTTAATATAAAACTAGATTTATTATCTATATAATCTTCAAGTTAGGTATTATCACTGCTTTACCTAATGAGGGAAATAATTCTCAGGGCACTTGTCCAAGGCACATAGTGAGGTAAGGTTGAGGTTTGAACTCAGATATCTCTGATCCCAAAGCTAGCTGTCTTTCTATGCTAGACTGGCTATACTAGGAAACAATCAGTGTCAACTTAGAAATGTTTGATCCAAAGAAAAAAATTTTCACTTCTATTTATAGGCTAAATAAACTTTACTAAATATGGAAGATTCCTGTAGCCCAGGAGTTGGGTTAGTTAACTTTTGAGGTCTCTGCCAACCCTGAAATTCTGTAACCATTGTTACATCTACCTCATACATGAATTACCAAAGATGTGTATGTAGATAATATTTAACAGTTTTATTGAGACATAATTCACATACTATATTATTCACCCACTTAATATACACAGTTTTGTAGTTTTGTGTGTGAATATATATATATATATATTCACACACACACATATATTTGAGACAGAGTCTCACTTGTCACCCAGGCTGGAGTGTAGTGGCACAATCACTGCAACTTCTGCCTCCTGGGTTCAAGTGATTCTCCTGCCTCAGCTTCCCTAGTAGCTGGGATTACAGGCACCCGCTACCATGCCTGGCTAATTTTTGTATTTCAGTAAAGGTGGGGTTTTACCATATTGGTCAGGTTGGTCTTGAACTCCTTGCCTCAAGTGATCCACCCACCTTGGCCTCCAAAAGTGCTGAGATTACAAGTGTGATCCACTGCGCCTGGCAGTTTTTCGTATATTGATGGAGCTGTGTAAACACCACCACATTCAATTTTAGAACGTTTCATGACCTGAAAAGGAATGCTGTATTTTTTAGCCATACATCCCCCTTCCTTCCTAACTACTATCTGTTTAGATTTGCCTGTTTGGGTCATCTTATGTAAATGGAATTATATAATATGTGGTTTTTTGTGTGTGGCTTCTTTTTTTTTAAATTTTTTTTGAGATAGAGTCTTGCTGTGTCACCCAGGCTGGAGCGCAGTGGCACAATCTTGGCTCATTGCACCCTCCGCCGCCTAGGTTCAGCTGATTCTCTTGCCTCAGCTTCCCCAGTAGCTGGGATTACAGGTGCCTGCCACCATGCCTAATTTTTGAATTTTTTTAGTAGAGAGGGGGTTTTGCTGTGTTGGCCAGGCTGGTCTCAAACTCCTGATCTCAAGTGACCTACCTGCCTTGGCCTCCCAAAGTGCTGGGATTACAAACATGAGCCACAGTGCCCGGCCTGTGTGTGGCTTCTTCTAGAATGTTTCCAAGGTTCATCCATGTTGTATCTGTATCTTATTTATTTTTATTGCAGAATAATATTCCATTGTATGGATAGACTGCATTTTGTTTATTCATTGATTAGTTGTTGATGGACATTTGGATTGTTTCCACTTTTTAGCTATGATTTACAATACTGCTTAGGTTTTTATTTCTCTTGGTTATATACTAGTAGCAGAATTGCTGGATCATATGGTAATTCTACTTTTAGCCTTTGAGGACCTGCCAGACTGTTTTCTAAAGTGGCTGTACCATTTTACATTCTCATCATATATGAGGGTTCTGGATTTCTCTATATCCTCACTAGTATTTGTGTTTGATTATAATCATCCTAGTGGGTATCCAAGGGTGTCTCATTATGGGTTTTTTTTCCCCCATTGGGGTTTTGATTTGCATTTCCCTGATGGAGATAAATATATTTTTTGTGTATCTCCCATAAACTGCCTGGTTCTGATGAGACAGTGTTCTTACAGAGAATAATTTTGCTTTGAAACAAAACAAACATCCTTTTGACTTGGGTAACCTTTGGAGTATGTTAATTGTGATTTATTCTGGCCTTGTAACATTGTAAATGGAGATTTTTTTTACAAACTGCATTCCCTGAAACCAGTAATAAGGTTCAGACCTATTGTTGCAAGTTCTCAGTTTCATTTTATGTAAATATGTTTGTGTTTTTTTGTGTGGATAAAACCTAGCATGGCAAAAAGGTGTCAAACACCTAAGTATTTAGAAAGCTAAAATGAAAATCCTACACGAACAGAAACTTTGTCCAATTATCATTGCAATAGCACCATCACCTATAACAGTGCCAGTGTACAGTAGATATTATAGAATATTTTTTAATGAATGAATGGAAAATGATAGGCATATTTATCTTATACATCCTCTAAAAGATTTCATTACATGTGCAAAGTATGTAAGGCTTTATTTATATATAGATAAAATAATCAGAGTGTATAATCTATGTATTTACTTACCAGCATAGAAACTCCACATGATAAAAATTGAGATTATTTATTGTTAATAACATGACTTACCAGTTTACTTAACCTAGAAATGAATATTTTGTAAGAATAAGCAAGGAATGTTGGAAAAATTTAGTGTTTAGGAATTGTTTTTTTCATCTCTGTCATATATATTTTCTGTTTTAGCCACTTTGGAGATTTGTTAATGACACCAAAGACAAAAGAATGTTAGTTTATAAATCTGAAGATATCAAGAATGTTTCACGTTTGCAGTCTCCAAAAGTGTGTGGTTATTTAAAAGTGGATAATGAAGAGTTGCTCCCAAAAGGGTTAATCGACAGAGAACCGCCTGAAGGTAAGGCTTAAAGATATTATATCAAATACGAAACAAACATATTACAATTGGCTTCAATAGGGGTGGTTGTTAACTGATAAAAAATAACATGCTTATCAAGTAAGTATAGTATTTGGCATGAAAATAAGGGTTTTGTTCCTGAAATTTTCAAGTTATTTTGTCTATAATGTAAGAGTTGAAAAGTCTTGAAAATAATGAGAACAACAAAGATTAGATTTTAAAAAAGATACGGAAAAGGGAAACGGAATGATCTGAGGGAAAATATTCTTGCAGGTATTTAGAAATGATAATTTGATGAAAGACAATCTTTAGAGTTTATAAGAAATTGATTAGTAGCAGGAGTATTCTAAATAGACTGTCCCAAGATGGTTAACCTTCTTGTATTCTGCTGAATACAGTCTATTTAGAATCATTTAAAAAACATAACCATCTTGGAGTTTTTCTACCCAAAACACCTC